AAATGAAAAATAACAAAGAATTTGCTCTGAGACGTAAACCAAGCCAGAGATTCCCTGCTCCTGCTTCAGCCGCCCAAGGACGTTCTCTAGCACATACTGCACGATCCACTCTAGTTGATCGAAGAAATCGATGAGGCTTCTACTTCATACTTTGCGGCAGCGTACACAGCTACCTCGAAAGTGGGAAGTATGCTGAGTAGGAGGGTAGCAGACTGTTGCTAGAGAGTATGAAGCGGGCAGCTGTTACCCTCCTGTTTCCCCATACCTTACCAGCTACCTGCTACCCTCCTACTCAGCATACTCCCCACTTTCGAGGTAGCTGATCACTGGTGTACGCTGCCGCAAAGTATGAAGTAGAAGCCTCATCGATTTCTTCGATCAACTAGAGTGGATCGTGCACACAGATGAGGTATGTGCTAGAGACCGTCCTTGGGCGGCTGAAGCAGGAGCAGGGAATCTCTGGCTTGTTTTACGTCTCAAAGCAAATTCTTTGCTATTTTTTCATTTGCTAATTAATAGTATCAACTGCAGTTGCTGAGTGGTACTTCTGCCTTCGTTCCTTTTTTCCGAGTCTACAATGTGCCAAGCCCACCCTTGCACCATTTCCTTGTAGAAGCGGATCAATGACGTGAGGTGGGGTCTTACACAGACTCAAGATCTGTAGAAAGATGAACCATTGTTTCTGATGAGCATGAGCTTGAGCAAGGTTTCCAATGCACAATGTTCGCTTGGAATCCCTCAACGGGAGGTTGGTAGATTGAAGTTTACTTCTGGAGAGAAAGGCGAAAGCGGTTGGATTTCGCCTATTCAAAAACTCTTTTTGCATAGTTAATTTCTAGCATTTCCAAGCACGGCTTGACTCTCGTGGTGATCGTGCTTCCATTTGTTATATAAGGTAATAGATCTACGTACGTCCCACCGCTCGGCGGAGAGAAGGGCTATGAACATGGCAAAAAACACTCCCTAATCGCTATAGGGGCCAGGCCACATACGTAGCTGGGAGAAGGGGGTCATATTTGGTCTGGAAGAACTCTTTTTCGATAGGTTTTTTTGTTTCGTGGTGGGGGATCATATTATTATAGCTCGTTGTTGTGAAAGGGGTGCGTCGTAGTTGCTTTCACTTTTCGCGCTTCTTTCTTTTTCTTCTATTTCGCATGTGCTATTCCCTCCCCCCCCACCTCACTCGACAACAGAATTCCGGGAAGAAGTAGGATATTCTCGGGACATCCCGAAAAATCCGGATAAACTGGGAAAAGGGAGATCGGGGGGGGAGAGGGCAGAAGGGCCGTATTTCAGACACGCAACTTTTCTGCCAGCGAACAGAGACCTGAGACCTCCTGGAAAAAGCATGCAAAAATGAATTGATGTGAACAAAAAGGGAAGAAGGGTCGGTTTTCACTAAAAAGGCACGTTTTCGGGAAGGGAGGGGGTCGTACGGATTCATCACCAAAGGTCCCTAATTATTGTACCTGTAAGGCAGGGCTGCCCTTGTTGAGAGAAGACGCCCGTTTTGCCGGTCTAGTGTGAGATGATTGTGTTCAGGTCTGGAGAGTGACGAACTTAATCGAGGAGTTGAGGCTAGAAGAAGAGAGAGGGTATTTCATGGGAGATAAGTGACAGTGGAGTAGTTGGCAGTGGAGTATTATACTCCCATTAAAGGAGAGGAGAATCAAACAAAGAATCTGTACAAGGCAATTATACCCAAGGAGAGGAGAACTATACACAAAATTCCTTCAAATTATGGAGTTTTAGAAGGCAAAAATTTATGTAAATTTCTTTTGAGAACAGAAATGAGGGCCTTATGATGGTCTGAAGTCCGGTAAAGTTCTTCAGTACGATAGCTGAAGCCCATTACGCTTGAAAAGTCCACAATTTTGAGTTCTAGATCCAGTACGTGGCGGATTCTCGCCGTGCACAGTGAGTTCTTGACCCTCCATCCCTCAAATATTCCTGTGGCCTGCGAATCTGAAGCAAATAGGAGCAGGTTTGATGCTGTCAGCACAAGTGTTTGACTCGAAATCGCCTGTAATTCATTTCTGGTCGCTTTTGAAGGAGCGGAAGTACTCACAAACTTCCAAATGTCGAAATTCAAATGAAGCCATTAGCAATTCGCACCGTATCCGCCACCCGCCTCGCTCAATGACTGCCCATCATCGGTTTTCGGGAAATCCCTTTTCTATTAATGCTCTTTGCTCATTCAGATCACTATGAAAACCAAAATCGTATCTCCTTGCCCTATAGATTTCTGTGAAGCGAAAAGCCACACCTCTCATTGGTTTTCTCAATTTTTTAGGGAAAATCCAATTGTTTTCAAAATTGGGGTGAAAATGACATTCTCTCACTTCAAAATGTTAAATAACTAACATTTTAGCCTCTATGGATGCAAACTTTTTGGACGATTTGGTCCTATTCCAACTGAGAACGCAAGCTTTGCTTTCCAGCTCCCTAATAAGACTAGTTATCAGTCCTGCATTAAAGCGGGTACTTCCTGTTCAGCAAATGCATTTCATTGCAGCTTTTCAACGCAGTTCCGAAGCGTATAGTATAAGTTGTACGGGGATGCTATTGATTTTTTATTAGAAGTGGAAAATGTAGAGGGTTGGCCGGGGGTGGGTGGCAGACGAAATCGATTGCCGACGAGGAGTGCATGGCTTGAGGGAGTGGGAGCGGGAGCGGGGGGCCCAGAGCGAGACTGAGAGGGCCCACGGATGGTGCCCGTTTAGGGCCCGAACGCATGTCTTTGTCAGCCAGTCCGGCTCCACCGGGACAGGGCCTTGGCCCACTGGTGGCTGGTGCCGGTCCTCCGTCCGGAGATTCCTTATTACTCACTCTACGAAATAAACCGCATGCACGTGTATTTCGTGCTTTATTCCAGTATCTACCACTGCGTGACTCCCCAAACGAGAATCCCCAGTTGGAACTGGCCCTAGCGCCAGGTGATGTGCTGCTCGTCAAAGGCGAGATGGACTCGGATGGATTCTATCGAGCCGAGACACTCGACGGCAGGACTGGTTTAGTGCCGTCCAACTATGTCGAACGGGTACCGGACTCGGTGCTACTTTGTAATGCCCGAGCTCCATCGCCATCATTTCCTCTTCAAGTCCCACAACATCATTCCACTATCACTCACGATTTCTCCGAACCTGATCACAGCCAACTGCCCGATTCCGTCTGCCCATATCCACCGGCTGACGTCTCCAAAGTCACTGTGCAGGAGATCAAGCAGAACGACACTCCCAGAGGTTTGTTTCCCTCATATTGATCCGTTTTTTTATTTTGATATTAGAAATGCATTGATTGTTATTTTGCTTCTTTTATTCACTTCTTTATCATTTAATGGTTTCTTTGAGTACTTTTTCAATTCCTTGTGATGTTATTGCAAACCGTTTCATCTCTTGTTCCTCTTATTCTTTCATTCGCCAGGATTTTTTCGGCATTTTTCATGAACCGTTTGACGATGTTCCAATGTCCGTGTGGTTTCTATGACAAGCTTCTTCAACTTTTTTTTACTCGTCCACTACCGTCTCCTTACTGAGCATTTATAATTGCAAGAGGAAATCTTTTTTTTTTGCCCCTGGCTATCCTAATTCGATAGGAGCAGCCCTTTCACTGGCCCCACAGTACAGTAACCGTCCGATCCTATCTACCGTACCCAAAACTGACCACTCCTGGCATTGGTGGCTGCCAAAATGGCTGTTCGTTGACCTGTATCATGGCTGCGTCATGCAATCATGCAACAAAAGCCGTGTCCGCCTACTCCTTGCGGCAGCCGGCGATCGATGCCCCGTAGCCTCAAGAGGAAAAGCTAACCCACTTAATAGCTCACACAGGGGGCGCGGAGGCCACCCACATCTGCATACACCTTCCTGGTTATGCTTATTGTCGAAAGTACCAACTCGAGGATGGAATCTCATGAACACTGGGGGATTCCCTCAGCTTGTCTTCTAAAGCTGAATAAAAACCAGAAATTCCGATATAGATACGTATTCCTGAGCTGTATGACCGAACATTGCCCTTATAGGATTTGCTGAAGCAAAAGGAGCTCAGACACGTCACAGGGGACATCATCGTCAGGCATCCCCATCAGGGGGTTGTATTTGGTCGCTGGCGCAGGGGGGGCATATTTAGCCTGAGGAAATTTTTTATAGTTGATTTGTCCTGTTTCACAGATGACACATATAAGCCGAAGCCATATTTGCCTCCAGTTCTCCTGGAGAGGGGGGGGGTAGTCCGTATGTATTGGCCTTTGAGAGAAATTTGTTGGCGTTAAGAAAAGATTTTTTCGGCGACTGACTTGCTGACTTTTCGGGGTTTTCCTAATCTCAACGATAGTATTGGAGGAGGGAAACCAGGGGAGGGGTTTGTATCAAGCCACCCTAGGGAGGGGTCGAACGACTTCTCCAAAATCCCCTACTAATAATGTGCCTTGAAAGCTCAGAGAGCTCACCTTCCAGACCTGAAGCCACGTTGACCGCCCTTCACATGAAAGAAAATGGGGATGCGAAACGACAGGCCATCAATGAAATTCCACATTCCCACAACCTCGTTGGCAGAGACGGAAAAAATCTTGAAGGCATAAGGCACGATAATTCGGTACTCGGTCTAAAGTGGTAGCAGAGGTGCTATATAGTGGGGAAATGGCGAAAAAGCGAAATGAAACGGTCAAAAACCTGCAAAGAAACCCTTGTCCTACACGTCGTAGAAAGCATTTTCGGACGAGTTTCCCGCTGGCACTTCGCCAACAACCGCTACGGTAGATACGGCTGCATGTATGTACTCATATATCCATGCAGCACCGCAGCCGCTTCATATCAATCCCTTCGCTTCATATTTTACTTCGCAAATGAAGCAATACGAGCATCAGGTACGGTCGTCCATTTGTGGGCGGGATGCAGCGGGCGTCCGGGTCGGTATGTTGCAGCTTGATAGGGCGAAGGATGCCTTTCTCGGAAAAGACGTCATACAGCACCTGCTCAGGGGCGCCGAGTTCTTTTCTGCTAGGCGTATTATCCTATGCGTCTTGGAAATTTATCGTGCCACTTGCCTTTAGGAAAGCGGCGAGGTTTCACGAAATTCGGTACCGTGAAGAGAAACGTTTTCTCTGCTCAGAGAGATTTTTGGTTTTTGAAGGAAAATTCTGGTCTTGGAAAAAACCATTTAGCGCATACCGTCGTCAATAAAATGCTTTTCTGCAGTAATATTCTTCGGATAAGCGCTACGCACCCTTCTCCTCCCCCGGCCCCCGCCCCCACTTGGCGGCACGGCAAAACTATTACTTTTCATGGTCTAATAATTTATCTGCTACAACCCACTCTGCGCTGACGACGGAATTTTGAAAAACTTGGCTGAGATGGTATTTTGCTTTTGAAAAGGGATCGTACCAAAGCAGTAAATTTGAGGCGGGTCGTACAGACACAACCATTTTACCCACCCTCTCATTTACCCTGGCACGAATGTCCACATGTCGGATACAAGAATGATGTGTCATCTGGGTACTTCTAGAATCGGATGTCTTTGAGACCATGGAACCCCTAGCTTCTTCAAAGAATCGTTTTTGTTTCTGCACAGTTGATGACTAGGAAGAAACCTGCAACAACTTCTTACACAGGAATGGGAGGCTTCTTTCCCATCTATTTACTATCAAATATGGAGGTTTCGTCCTCGGATAATCCGATTATCTCATTCACGGAAACGAGCTTCACAAGGCAAAGAAATGGATTTTCAGCTGGTCAAATGCTATGCGATGACTAATTTTGAAGACCATCCTCGTCTTATCAAATTGATGTGGTTTTATCGAACGCTTTTTTGCATATGACCTCGGCCTTCCATAGTGTGAGGGAAGACTGCGAGTATCAGTGAGGCTAAACGGATGAAAAAGGGCAGGGCGTTCCGCACCGATCAATTCCTATGCAGGAAGAGGCGTGCGTTTGGCAATGGTCTCAGTTTCAACTTTCACTTGAATGCTTAAAGGCAAAGCCCGCGGTCACAGATAGTATATAATGGGGCTCAGATACGAACAACAAGGTACTAAGTAATTGAGCAGTGAGAAAAAAAGTAGAAAAAATCGTCGGGAATGTCCTATACAAGACCCCTTGCCGACGCTATCTTGTGGAAATGAGAAGGCCTGTTCATCATCAATTTCGCACTGCTAAGCAACTCGGACGGTGAGGCGGCTAGCTAGTTAGTAAATGGTTGCCTCTAAGGGTCGGCATTAGCCCAAGGGGTGGTCATGGGCCTAATGTTAGGTTTCACTAAAATTTTTGCGAGTTTTCACTTTGGTGTAATGCTGCTCCGCAATCGCCTACCGGGTATCTAAGGCTTCGAGAACCTATAGCCTCAGTTTATCGCGGAATGTGCCTTTTAGCACCTGATGTACTTTATTCTTCAAGGTGTAGCGTCATTTATTTGCATGTCCCTACAATGCGCGGGCGAAGCAAAAGAGCGAGAAAGTTACTCAACACTAGCAAGTTTTTCCCATATTTTTCGCACATTCTTCGTTTCTAATTGCTTTTAGCACTCTAATCACTCGAAGTAGATCATTCATGTGGCCAAGAAGAGATGAAAAATGCGTTTCGAAAAGGGTGCGCCCTATATCCCGGTGCGTCTTATACCCTAAAAGCTAGGGTAATCACCCTCGAGGCCAGCTACGACTGAGCTCACTTCGGAAGTTTTCTCACATAGTACTTGAAATTGAATTAAATAGTAGTTTAGCGATCAACGAGCGTTGGAAGGCTTGGTTGGGTTGGGCAGGTTGAGATATAGGGTTCGGGCACCGGCGCGATGACGGCGAGATTTTTCACTGGAGCAACTCTGTAGAAGAGTTTAGTCCCATGCAATGAAAAAAATTGTGACTAAATATAATAAAATGAAATCACTGAGAAAAAAGTGAAGCGAAGGCTGAGTCTCATCGGAATCATAGTGACTGAAGGAAATTGGGCTCGAGCTAGCCGAAGCAGACGAAGTCATTTGAAGACTCCTTATGTGTAAAAAGGGACCACCGTGGTAAAATGAAGAATTTGGCCCTAGTCCAAGAGGAAAGGAGCTCCGGAGTGAGTGAAAACCAATTTTTTTTTGCCACGAAGGTGTTCGCATAACATTTTCAACACATCTCGACCTTTGACTGCCTTCTTCCCTAGCCGACCTGCCCTAGAAATTGTCTAAAGGTTTTGCGAGTTTTCCTGCATGGCCTAAATCTGGCCAGGGGTTGCAAATCGATTTTTCAAGCAATGTTGCAGCCTTAAGCTGGAACAAATTGCAGCAGCCAAGAGGGTTGTGTTCCAAACTCCTTTGATCGTCGGATTGTTTTTTCGAAAGAAAATGGCCAGTCATACCTACAAATCCACTGCCGTTCAATATTTACTAGCCATAGAGAGATAGTAAAAGATTCTGACCGATTGTAACTTTTCTTGTAGTGAACCTTTCTTGCTTTCTATGGCTGATACCGCAAGGTTTACTTCGGTAATCTTCCTTCTGTGGTAGTATAATCGCTTTGATATTCAGCATCCCTTTTGTTTCATTCGGTGCCTACGAGAGACATTTGAAAGTGTGTTTAGCTCATGCAATGGCTTCTTGGCCTAAATAGTGTGAAAACATAAAAAGACATCATAATTCATTGCAAAAGACTCTACTTGATGGGTAGCCTTCTTGCTCCATTTTCTCCAATATTTAGCTGCTAAACAGGCTTTCTCAAGCGACCATGCATAAGCTCAGGCTTCTGAGAACTAGCTTCCTTCATAGGACGAGAAATGTTTATTGCTCTTGGACTTATCCGTTTTTCATATTTGAATACCGCACTCGATTGATATAGTTCATTCCTTACTACAAACTGAAGAAACCAGTACAGGAGTGAGTTATCGGTTGAGTGTGGCACCCGTCACACACCAGGACCATTTTCGACCTTTCAGCTCAAAGGATCTGTTCAGTCTAAAAATAAATCAGAAAGGAACTATTTTCTAGCTGTCATTCCCGCAGCATTTGGTTGCGATTGGGCAAAATCTTCTGTCGATTCATCAGCAGAGCGGGGCGGGAGGGGGCGGAGGGTGCAAGGGAAGAAAAACCAGTCAGTTCTCAGATATAGAGGATTTGAACTCGAATCTGGTTTGCGAACCAGCAAAAAATTATCATCCAACCATCGGAGCCCCTGCCTGCTCGAACACTAGAACACGATCATCTTCCCTTTGGAGACCTACAAGGAATAAATTCCAACGATTCCGGACATTGTGCCGTTTGAGCTGCTCATCTATATTCTTTTTTATTTTGCTC